CTGACCTGTGTCATCTCTGACGGAGGCAGCCCAGGGCCCACTCAGCTCCCACCAGGATGTTTATAGATGACGGAGTAGTCAGCCTCCTGGGGTTTCCCGAGAAAGGGGGTCTGGGCTCCTGGACAGTTGCCCTCAGACCTGACCCCAGCCCCTCCCCCCTCAGACTCAGGAGTCCTGAGCCCCCAGCCCCTCTAACCCAGGTGTCCCGGGCCTCAGGCCCCTTTTCCCTAGCTCCCGAGTTGGGACACAAAACTCACTGCCCCAGGACAGCTGAGCACCCACCACTGGCTGCAGAGCTGTGAATGGAGTTTCACTCCTGGTGAACTGGGGAACGCTCCCAGCCCAGGCCCCGCCACTGGGGGAGACCAAGCCAGGAGTTTGAAGACCTTCCATTGGATCCCCTTTCCCCATTTGCAGGTGGGGAGACAAGCCTAGGAAGGGAAAGGGTCTCCCCGCCCATGAGTCACCCTCAGCCCTGGGCCCTGAGATCCATCCGACAGGCATGGCCAAGCCAACCTGCTTACATATTCCCCATCAGGGGGCCTTGAGTGCCACAGAGAGCAGGGGACTTCTGAGCAATGTCAGATCCCCATTGCCTCCTTGACTCCCTAGGTCACCTGGTTGCCAGGGGAAAGACTCTGGGCCACGTGGAGCTGCTCGCAGGCCTCCGGTGACTAACAGAGGGGCTCCCTGGAGAGGACTCTGCTGCCTACCTCTCAGGTCCCCTGGAAGGTAAGGAGGAGAGGCCTTGACCCCCACCCACCCTAAAGCCCGGTCTAGCTGGTTGCTAAGAAAGCAACTCTAGCAACCAGGCATGACCGGCCTAGTGTGACACCCCCTTCCTTCTTCCCCATTGCTGAGGGGCCCCTAGCAACAGAACTTAGAACCCTGGGGGCTGGGTGGGCAGGCAGGCGGGGCCCAGCTGGTTGCTGGGGGATGGCCTTCAAGGTCTCTCACCACAGAGGCCCCAGGGCTCTGGGGAGGAGACATGGCGGCCAGTGGGATCCCAGCTTTGAGCCTCTTACTGCTGATGCAGGGCTCAGTAGGTGAGGGGGCCCGGGGAGAGGGTCAGAGAGCCGAGGAGGGGGCGTCCCCAGCCTCCATACTATGTGCCTGACACCATCTATTTTCCTTCACAGATGGGAATGGAATCCAGGGATTCTTCTACCCGTGGAGTGAGCAGTGGATGAATCCTGGGCTCCCACGGCTGGGGGCCCAGACTAGGCTCTGAGTCCAAAGGGAGGAGGGGCTGGGGGCCTGGACTCCTGGGTCTGAGGGAGGAGGGGCTGGGGGTCTGAGGGAGGAGGGGCTGGGATCAGGATTCCTGGTCTAATGGAGGAGGCTGGATATCTGGAATCCTGGGTCCATATAGAGTAAGCACTAGGCAGAGCCCAGGGAACTTGGCCTTGGGATCCTGGGCTCTATGGCCCTCTGCGCCTGGGCCTGTGACCTCGCCATCCCTTATGGTTGCCCCCAGGCTGTGAAGGAGACGTGTGGAACCGGGAGAACTGTGGGGGAGAGGCGGCCATTGAGAACCCCAATCTCTGTCTGCGTCTACGATGCTGCTACCGAGATGGCATCTGCTACCACCAGCGGCCGGACGGTGAGTGCCTGTAAGACAGGGTCCCTGCGGACGGGGCTGGCAGCCAGGACCCCTGGGTCTCAAAGGTCTGAACTTTGTCCAGAGAATATGCGGAGGAAACACCTGTGGGCGCTGAGCTGGACGTGTGCGGGCCTTCTCTTCGTGATCTTCGGGGTCTTCTTGTATTGGCGAGTAGTGGCAGTGGGGTTTGGGTGGGCACCCTGCCCCGAGAGGAGCAGGCGGATGGGCTAAGGCTGAGCACGCTCCCTCCCACGTCCCCTCCCGCCAGGTGGGTCAAGAGCCGGGGTATACAGCTCCCAGGGTTCAAATACCAGCCGTCCAGATCCGTCTCTATGTCATCCCAGGCCAAGAAAAAGGGCAGCCAGTCAGCCACCCTTCCTTTGAAGGGTTCCCAGGACGTCTCAGAAGGGGAAGACACAGTAGGGGAAGACGATTAGGGGCACCCCTGGGGGGACCCCTCAATAAAGACATAGCATATAGACACATGGCCTCTTTTCTGAGCCATGGGAGCCAGAGGCGGATGAAGCCCCAGGCAGGGAATGTGTGTGCGTGTTTGGGGAGAGGGTGGGTGGAGTGGTGGGGCCTGGGTGGTGATCATGGGGTGTCTGGACTGAAGGGGTCTGAAATGGGGAAGTTGGGGGTAGCCTGAACCGGGCTGGGGGGCATGCTACAGCTAGGGGGCTGTACCCCTCAGCTCTCTTCCTATAGGGAGTGCCGCTGCCTGACAGCCTCACTACCAACATGGTATCATGTGCCCAGCACCCAGTATTTCCCAGTCTTCCCACCAATGTCTGAGCACAGCGGGGTTCCCTATGGAGTATGAGCCTCCTGGGCAGACAACCTCAGCTCTCTCAGGCCCCCAGTGGCCTGGCAGAAATTTTCTTTGAAGTGCTGTACAGTTCAAGATGCATCTTGCCCGGCCAGCGTGGCTCAGCGGTTGAGCATCGACCTATATGATCCAGGAGATCTCAGTTTGATTCCCAGTCAGGGCATATGCTCGGGTTGGGGGCTCAATCCCCAGTAGGAGGTATGCAGGAGGCCGCCCATCAATGACTCTCTCATCATTGATGTTTCTATTTCCCTCTCTCTCTCCCTTCCTCTCTCTGAGACTCATCCTAACCCTGAGCCTTCCTTCCTCCCTTCCTTTCTCAGCACCAGACTCACACCAACCTCCCCTCCATGAGACTTTCCCCCAATAAATACCTTGCAAGTCTAATTTGTCCCTCTGTCTGCTTCTCTGAGGGTCCCAAACTGACAGGAGCCTGGGCAGAGGGAGGTCTGGACTGAGAGGGTGAGTCTGGGCTCCAGATCCTGGTGAAGCCAGGCTCCTATGTCCCCAGTGGCTTTGGGATCCTCAAGTATATGTGAATGTGACTTAGTCCACTTGGCCCTCCCAGCACCCCTGCCCCAGTGATGGCCCTCTCGCAGACAGACAAACAGAGCTGGGAGGCAGTCATTTATGCAGGTGACAAAGGAGCACAGGTAGGCATCCTGGTGGCCTCGTGATGTTGGGGGCATCTGCACATTACAGTCAGGTCCCGACAGGTGGATCCACAGGTTTGTCTGCAGGAGGGAGGGCAGTGTTAGTGGCTGCTGGGGACCCCATATCCATGTGCTCTCTGCATCCACCACCCAGGGGCGCAAGGGACACAGGGGAAGCCCTTTCCACCTGCTTCAGCCCCTCACCCACTGGCTCACCCACTTGCTCACTGGCTTCTCATCCTTTCATGCCCTGATTTGCTGCAGAGTGTGTGTGACTTTAAGTGACCAGAACACCATGGTACAGGTGGGGAATGAGAGGCCAGGAGAGACAGGCGCAGAGACAAAAAGAGACTTGGGAGATGGAGAGAGACTGAAACAGAGACAGGCAGGCAGGCAGAGACAGAGGAGACAGAGAGGGGACAAGTGACAAAGAGTGGAGGTGGGTCTGCATGGCCACTCAACTAACTTTGGTCCCAGAGTGGGAGGGGATGCTTTGGAGCCAGGACCTATGGGACCCTCCGTTAAAATTCAAGTTCTCTGTCCTTCATGTGCTGGGAGCACCTCACCCTTCCCATTGAGGAGGAATTCTGTGTCTGGATTCCATCCATCCATCCATCCATCCATTCACCCATCCATCCATCCATCCATCCACCCACCAACCTATCCATTTACCAATCCATGCACACATCCATCCATTCACTCGTCCATCTATCCATGCACTCATCCATCAACCGATCTGTCCATCTATCCATCAACAAATCCATTCATCCATCCACCAATCCCTCCACCCATCCATTCAACTATCCATTTGTCCATCCATGCATCCATCCACCAACTCATCCATTCATCTCTCTATCCACCTACTTATCCACCAATCCACCAATCTATCCATTCACTTATACACCAACTAATCCACCCATCCATGCATCCATCTATCCACTGACTCATCCACTCATCTCTCCGTCCACCCACCCACCCATCCACCAATCCATCCATCCAGGTAACCATCAACCTCTGATTTCTTGGGTTAACTTTTTGCTGGGAAGTTCTAAGAACATAGACACCAGAGACCCGGGCCTCACCCTCAAGGGGCTCCCTGTTGGCTGGGAGAAACAGTACCAACACCCACAGACACAGCACATGATGATACAAGCAATGGGTAACTCACAATAGGAAGACCCAGAGAAAGGCAGCGTAGTTGGGTTGGATCTTAGAGGACACACGGGAAGTTTTCTGTGTAGACAGCAGTGGCACTCCTGCGGTGGCCAGGGCGCGAACAGAGGCCAGCTGGTGTGAGCGCCTGGCTGCCCGTGGCCAAGCGACTTTAGAGAAGGCAGGAAATGTGGTGCTGAGACTTGGGGGGCGGGCATGTCAGTGACTGGCGTGGGGAACCTCAGCAGGCCTTTGAGCAGAGGAGTGCGCGCAGAAGAGTGTGTTTAGGAAAGGGAACAGATGGAAGAGGAGGGATAAAGGGGAGGGAAGGAGCCTTGGTCCCTGCCGCCATCGCTCTCCTGCCTCCATTGGTCATTCCCACTTTTACTTTAAATCTCTTTAGACTTTTTGTCAGGAGAATCCCAGCTGTGTGCCCTTGGGCAAGAGGTGGTACCTTCTGGGGCCTCAGTGTCCTCGGCTGGCTTGGGGATGGTAGGAGTCATGGCCTCGGAGACCCAGTTACACTGGGGATTAAATGGGACCTGATGCACCTTGGGGCTGGAGCGCGGGAAGGGACCTCCCAGGTGACAGTGACTGTCCCTTACCTCCTGGGGTGGGGGTGGGGGAGCAGGGTCTCATTCGCGTTTCCCCAGCCCGCACTCAGGCCTGCTCCCTCTCTCCATCCTCTGGGCCTCTGCTACTCTCTGCGTCTCCATCTTGGCTGGGTCCTGTGTCTCCCCGGCTCCCCTGTCTCTCCCTGCCTCTCTGTCTCCATCTTTCCCAG